AGATCCCAGGGATTAAACTCATGTTGTCAAGCTTGTGTGGCAGACGTTCTGATCTTATCCCTGGCCAGTGCTCTCTGCTCTGCTCCATGTTCCTTCATATTATAGGAATGCATTTTGTCTGATGACTCTTGTTGTTACTGGAATGTTCTGAATAAACTTTTCCATCCCCATCTCTATATTAGACAGCCTCCCTCCAAAAACCTCCAAAGCTGCATCTTGCCATCTCTGTACCCATCTGTCATTTCTCTGTAGCCTTCTCACTGCTGGTGTGTTTATGTGATATCATTTGCCACTTCCTCCAAATTTCCAGAAAGAATACTTAGTTTCTTATCTCCAAGCAGCACATTTTCATCTGATTACCATGAACCAAACCCTTCTATTTATTTCTGTTTCCCAATATTGCTACCCATTCTTATAGTAGTTTCATTTATTACTTTGTGAACTGTTCATTACAACCCATATATGACAAAGATTAGGGAAAATTAATTTCTATTTTAAGTCCCACATCAATGAGCCACAATGGGGAAGGTTAGTTCTCTTGTATCTTCTCTCTTGAGATGATTGGTGTGTGTGTGTGTGTGTGTGTGTGTGTGTGTGTGTGTGTGTGTGTGTGTGTGTGTGTGTACATGCTCATGTGTATGTGGAGGCTGGAAGTCAAGGTCAGGTATTCTCCTCCATCAGTCTCCATCTTAAATCTTGACTGACTCTGGAATTTGCTAGACTGGCTGGACAGGAAAACCCAGGAATCACCCTGTGATCACTTTCAGTGTTGGCATTACAGGCATGTGGTACAGCTCTCCGCTTTTTCCTACAGGCTCAAGGATCTAACTTCGGTCCTTGTGCTTGCATGGCAAGTACTTTAGGTGTTAAGCCATCTTTCCAGCTCCTACCATAGTTGTCTTTTAAAGTGAGTAAATGATTCCATTCTCATCCAAACTGCCAGAAAATGACTATTCTTTGCAGTGGGTGATAGAGCTCTTAGCTCCTGTCTTTCTGCTGCCTGTAAATTACAGTCAGTTTTGTGAGCCTTCCTTTGGAACTCTTTAAGCATTAAGCATTCTATTTCCATATACACTTTCCTTTAGGTATTTGCAGTAAGTAAAAATTCTGTGTAAGGATGTACAGACGAGGAAAAAGCATTTTCGGGCACATGTAAATGCTGTTCTCAATTTCAGGAACTCTCAGAGCAGAAACAGGTCTTAGAACTATCATCTCTTTGTTTCCCAACTTTCTGTCCCAAGCACATTGTTAAATCTTATGGAAGCCTTGAAGCTGAGCGCTGAGTATGTCTGTGGTGACTTGTAAGGCGCTGAGCTCCCAAGGGGCATAATCACCTAGGAAGCACTCGTTCGTTTAGAGTATATGTTTAGCCAACAACATGTTTGATTCTGTTTTAGACATTGGAAATACAGCAATGGACAATCCAGACAAGCATCTCTGACCCTGGATCTTATGTTCTAATTAGAAGATTAATAAAACAGGAGAGAAATTAATAAAAGTGTAACGTACTTTGATGATAATAACCAGAAAGAACAGTCAAGGGACAGGGTTAAATTAAGGCCAACTGCAGAAGCCACATCTGGCTTCCTGGAGGAAATGGGTGGAGAATGGATTGGGGGCTTTGTGGGTTGAGTGCAGCAAATACTTAGGGTGAAAAAGGAGAGGAAAAAGTGTAAGAAAAACCAGAGCTAAAAGAGGTGGAGAGGAAATTAGCTTATTTGGATGAAAGCTTCAAAGATGTGAGGAACATACTAGAGACATATCAAAGAAGATGCTAATACCCTTCACCTGTCACTCCAGGTAGGCTGTCAGCTCTTACAAGGTGCTTGAAGTGGTTTTTGGCACTAATAGTAAGGTGCAGTGGGGCAGCCCTATATCTCTTCCTCATTGTGTCCCTCTTCTCCTTCTCTGTCCTTTCTTCTTCCCCTCTTTCCACCTCCCTCTTCCTCCCTCTCTCCTTCCCTCACTCTCTTCCATTTCCTCCCCCCTCTCTCCCAGCTCCCTGGACCTCCATCTTTACCTCTCCCTCCTTCTGTCCCCCCCTCTTCCATTCTTCCCTTCCCCCATGCTTCCCTTCCCTTGGTGTCTCCTTTTAAGTTTTCCTAACCACCAAAAATGTCCTTGTGCATCAAGGATACCCTGCGATTTATGTGAGGGAATTAAAGAAATAAGCAAGTCAGTCTTTGGCATTTTCTTTTCTGGGCTGACTGGAAACAGCCGATTAAATATTTTGGAAGGCAGGACTAAGAAAACACACTTTGATTCAGGCTTTGTGGAGACTTCCTTAATTTTTTTTAAATTTTTCATTACTTTTTTATTTAAAAGTTTTTTCATTTTACATACCAATCACAGTTCCCCCTCCCTCCCCTCCTCCTACTCCCCCCCACACACCTTTCCCCCAATCCACTCTTCAGAGAGGGTAAGGTCTCCCATGGGGAGTCAACAAAGTCTGACATATCAAATTGAGACAGGACTAAGCCCCCCCCCCCCCCCACGCTCCATGTCAGGGCTGAGCAAGGTATCCCATCACAGGAATGGGCTCCAAAAAGCCAGTTCATGTACCTGGGATAAGTCCTGGTCACTACAAACAGATCTAGCCACACAACTGTCACCCACATTCAGAGGGCCTAGTTCGGTCCTATGCAGATTCCCAGCTGTCAGTCCAGAGTCAGTGAGCTCCCCCTAGCTTGGGTCAACTGTCTCTGTGGGTTTCCCCATGATGATCTTGACCCCCCCTTGCTCATATGATCCCTCCTCCCTCTCTTTGATTAGACTCTAGGAGCTTGACTCAGTGCTTAGCTGTGGATCTCTGTATCTGCTTCCATCAGTCACTGGATGTAGGTTCTATGATGACAATTAGAGTAGTCATCAATCTGATTATCGGGAAAGGCCAGTTCAGGCACCCTCTCCACTATTTCTTGGAGTCCTAGCTGGGGTCATCCTTGTGGGTTCCTGGGAATTTCCCTCGCACCAGGTTTCTCCCTAACTCTGTAGTGGCTCCCTCTATCAAGATATCTCTTTCCTTGCTTTCCCCCAACTCCACCACCCCATTCCCTCATGCCCCTCCTCTCCCCACTGCACTCCCAATTTACTCAGGAGATCTTATCTACTTCCCCTTCTCTTCTTTCTGGAGGCAACTTCATCCTCTATCACTTAATGCCAGCAAGTCTCCTCTGCTGACCCTCTTTGTAGCTTTCCTTTGACCTGAGCTTAGTTAAGTGGTTGAATATTCCCTAAAAGGAAAAAAGGAGTGGAGTGCATAACAGTCTCCCAGTGCTAACAGCTGCCTTCCCTAGAAGACAAAACCTGGACTGGGCCTGAAGGGAAGGGCCCAAGATTAGACAGCAACGATATGCATTGTCTTATATGTAGCAAGACAAAGCAACTATAACAATTTTATTGCAATAGCAGAACATTTATGTTTGGGATGTTCTTTTAAAACATAGCTGTTTCAATACCCTAAGTCTTTGAATGTCTTAATAATGATTTTTTTTTTAGACTTAAAAGAAGGCTCTTGAAATTCCTGTATTTTTCTCTTTTATTTTCCCTGACTTCAGAAATTCAAAGTATAATTTTGAAGATGAAGCTATGAGTGGCAGCTCCAGGGAGTGGAAGAATAAGATCTGAAAGTCTTGCTGCAAGTCTACTAACTCATGGTGGAGGGCTGTGGCTGTGGCTGAGTGCACATTAGTACTTGCCTTTCAAGCTCTGTCTGGACAGCTGAATGATTCTTCCCTTACTCTTCTCAGATTCTATGCCTTATTATATATTTGGGGGAAGAATGCAGAAATGTCAAATGAGCTGTCACTATACAGAGTGACAATTGCTTTGACAAGCTGAGTAACTCATAGTCAACATGGAGATACAAATCCACAAATTAGAAAGTGACCATCTGGAAGGCATGGTCGGCTAATTGCTTAAGACAGTAAGTTCAGTGTCTCCTTGTTTCTATTATAGTTTTTCCTTTTCCTGGGAAAAGAATATACCAAACTGAAAACCAAACAAATCCAGAAACAAAAATAAAGTGTAAATTTTAAGATTTTGGTGACGGTGTGTGTGAGCATATATACATGCCTCTCTCTCTGTGTCTCTCTCTGTCTCTGTCTCTGTGTGTGTGTGCGCGTGCGTGCATGTGTGTGTGTGTGTGTGTGTGTGTGTGTGTGTGTGTGTGTGTGTGTGCATGAAGATCACAGGCCAATAGCAATGTCTTCTTTGAATCTCTCTTCACCTTATTTTTTGAGATAGGGTTTCTCATTGAACCTGAAGTCAACTGATTTGACTAGGTTGTCTAGCTAATGAGAAAATTTCAGGGAATAATCCTTCCAGCTCTGTGCCCACAGCTAGGATTAGAGACCTACCCTTGTATTTGGCTTATATGTGGGTGCTGGAGATCTAAATTCATGTCCTTATGCTTGTGTGTCAAGCACTTAACTGACTAAGGCATCTCCTCAGTCCCTCAAATATTTTAGTTGCAATGGTAGATTCTGAAAGGCAAAATTATTAAAGAGAGTAAAGAAAACAGTTATTTTAAACAGAGTCACTCTTGAACTGTAGCTTAGATTGGTCTTCCTCAGCCTTCTGAGTATTAGAACTACAGGTATGAGCTAACAAGCCTGCTTTAAGGGAAATGTTTCATAATAGAGCATTGCAGCTACCATGGGAAATAGAGATACTTTAAGCCAAAAAAGTTTCCTCAGTGGCCCTTAACTCCTGCAATGTTTGAAGCTTTTAGACTCACTGACTTGAAAGACTTGATCTGGTACTTAGATTTTACAGAGCATTCCCTTTTTTGGTGGTAGTGGTGGATGGGTTGAAGCAGCAAACGGCTATGCATCATTTCTTTCCTGATTAGGCAGAGAGAACAGGCTCTTTGCACAGACAGAAAATGAGAGAGTCACCTTGAGAGGAGTGGGTTCTGAAGAGAGGGTGAAAGATTTTCCTCGTGTTTCAACTTTCAGGAGGGCATCAGTGTGGTAGAAAGGCCTGAAAGTGGCCCAGGACCATGGAAGCATCAGTGCTGAGCCCTACATCCTGGGAAAAACGAAGGGCCTGGCTACGACAGAGCCGTAACTGGCAAACCCAGGTCCTGGAAGAGGAGGCTGCAGCTGCCCTTCAGGATGCACTGGATCCCGAGCCTTCCAGCCTGGATGATGTTTTCCAGGAAGGTAAGAAGATGCTGGGCATCACACAAATATCCACTGTGTCTTGCACAGGTCTGCAAAGGATGGAAAGTGGTCTCTGTTTAGAGTAGGACTTCACAGAGGTTCATTATGACTCCTTTCAGTGAGTGTAAGGAAGAGGTGTAATATAATATGATTATGTGAGGAGGAGGCAGGCATATGATTAGGAAACAGAAGGGGACACCTTTGCACCATCCTGAGAAACTTCTGTAAGAGTCAAAAGAAGAGGGTTTGTCTGTGAATTAAGTTTGTTTGTGTAAAAAGACTACATACAGTCTATGCCCAGATTCAGGCGGCAACTCTGACAACTGTGTGACCTTTGAGAAGTCTCTCTGAAGATTTTCTTGCTCAATGAAGCAGTTGTTCCTTTCTCACATACCTTATTATCTGATGTTGAAAGAGAAAGAACAGAGATGTAGTTTGAAACAAAAACTTTTGGACCAATAAACCCACCCTTGTTTATTTGTTAGGAAATAAAAGCATAGGGCTATCCCTCTTCTGATATTTTCTTTCTCTCTTCGTCCCTCCCTCCCTTCCTTCCTTTCTTTTTCTTTTTCCTTTTTAGTTTTGAGAAAGGAACAATCCCTATTCCCAAACTTTGGGAAAAGAAAGCAGAAAGTGTGGTAGCCTGGACACTGGGAACTTCCCATTTTTCTGAAGTAGATAGAAGAGAGGGGAGACATACCTGTCATCTTTATACATGAGTATATCCCTTTCATATTCCCCACTTCATGGGTAAAAAGAGTCATGCTGTAGCTTGTGTGAGAACAACTTGCAGAGTGCCCTGAGTTATCTGAGGAGGTGTGGTTCCTTCAGTTCCCACAGTCACCCTGTGTCTGCTTTTTCTAGGGAATCCAATCAATAAGATCGAGGACTGGCTGCAGGGCTGTGGGTAAGTGCTCAAAGGGTTAGGGTTAGGGTTAAACGTGGCTGGTGGGTGGCTGTGATGGTGTACATGGTCCGTGTGAACTCAGAGACAGGAAAAGAGTGAGAATCAGTTTGCTATGCAGGCATGAAGAGGAGACTTGGGTCTTGGGTCAGTTGGTGAACCAGGCTATGGGTCAAATGTAACTCAGGGCTGACATGAAGTTCAGCTTGGAAGGCTAGAGCTAAGAGTAGATGGAAATCTGAATCTTCCTAGAATCCTAGGGATGAGTGGTAGGCCCCTCCCATTGGCTTTCCCCATTCTGATTGCAGTTTTACATGGTGTGGCAAAAACGGAAGAGTTGGAGGGGGACCATTCATCCTCAGTAGAAGAACACAGGGGCTGCAAAATCATGAAGAGTTCAGAGACTTTAAACTACATTACCTCTTTTCTTGAAAATACTTTATCAAATACTACAAAGAAGCCCACAAACATTTTCTCATTTTTCTTCTTTTAAAAGCTATATCCAATAATTATAATATTGTGTTATTTAATATGTAAATTATGAGAAGCCAAGAGTGAATCCCAAGTGCTCTGATCCCAGCTCAAAGCTCTTTCACAGATTACTTTGCTTACCTATTTCAGATGAAGGGTATTTATTTTGTTTGTCAAACTGCTGCTGCTTCTTACTATCTGTTATGCTGATTTCCATTTGTTCTTTTGGTCAAGATGGTGAATGGGTGATAAGACATCATTACAAAACCTAAAACTATCTAACAGGATGCAGTTTCTTCTGTTTCCTGGAAGATGTGATAATCAACAAGAGTGTGGATGCTACAAAACTGAAGGAATGTGAATAGATATGGTAAACTGACAAGAGCCTGAAAAAAAATGACATTTGTATATGTCATATGGAAAATATGACATCAGAAATGGTCAAACTCTAGCTATTAGATCACTAGGAAGTGATAGAAATCACAGCATCAAAAACCTCTGTCCTCTTGACAAATTTCCCCAGTTTTGCTTCTGTATTTTTTTCTTATTTTGATAAAGACTGATGAACCATTATAAAACCAACTTCAGGCTACATAGCCATAACAACAGTAGCACATTTAGAAATACAACACATTCCAATCTCAGGCCCTCATCACTACTGCTATGAACATGTCAGTCAAGTAACCATAGCCTAATTGTCTTCAATATGAAAGCAAATTCAATAGTGCTGATTCTCACTGGAAAAATTATGTGAACATGTGGAAGATATTTGAAGAAAGACATGAAAATATGATTTTTTTTCTTTTGGCTTTAGAGACACTGAGGAGGGACTTTCTGAAGAAGCAGGGCAATCCAACTATAACGGTGAGCTGTTTCATTTTTTCTTGGATGCTGTACAGCTGTGTGTGTGTGTGTGTGTGTGTGTGTGTGTTTATACACATCCACATTTATGTGTATGCTTGAGATTATGAGTATTTTTAGTTTCTTAAAAATACCATTTATTTGTTATAGAACAGTCTAGAAAGTACAAAAGAAGTGCTACCTCAAGGCAAATGTTCTCTAATATTAATGGATTACTTGTTAGTGGTTGCTAACAACTACTATTGGAGAAGAACCTGGTGAACTGTGTGAATTTATATTTGTGTGTCCCTGGATGTGGTCACACACCCTCATGTATTAACTACTTAGCAGGGTATTGTGTACATGATTGTGTATGACAAAGTACACAGATAAGTTACACAAAAATGTGTATAATTCTTAATCAAAACATGACTGCGATTGCTGACATAAAGCTGAGGGAGTATATAGACATCTAGTCTGTTGGTGTAAGTTATTTAAGTCCAAGGACATGTTTAGATGTTCAAGTGTGCAGTTGTGTGTGTGTGTGTGTGTGTGTGTGTGTTTATATTATGTTCTGACTTTATTTTCTGCAACGTTTCTGTAATTTTTGGTAGGGTACTCTAGCCATGGGACCAGCTTTGAAGATGACTTGAGTCTTGGAGCAGATGGTGAGTGGCACAGCTGTACGATGTTGGGATTAGTGCAAAGGATCTCATGGTATGATTTAAGGGTAGGGTGGAAGGGAAACCAAATAAAGAATCAGGGTCTTCCTGGGGTTCTACCTGGAGAGAAAGAATAGTTTGGTTTTCTTGTTTTGTTTGTTTTGATATAAGATAAACACAGAAAGTATCCCAGATTTAGAAACATTTCTTCACCTGCCTACTATGATTTCTGACAGTCTTTTTATGGTGCTTGAGGAGACAATATCAAAGCACCATAAAATCTGCTGTATATTCACTCATCTTCATGACTTCTTTTCTCTATTAGAAGCCTAAAGATCCAGAGAAGTTTGACAGCTTCTTCCTTGTCTTCTACTTCATCTTCTTTATATTGGGCATCAGACCCAGTGCTCCGTCCAGCTAGGAAATGCTCTATCACTGAGCTATATGCCTATCCACTAGAAGTGGTTTTAAGGGATAGATTTTGCTGCAGAGGACAAGGGTTTAAATAAAAGAAGCACTGCCTCTTACCTGATAAGATAAAAAGGTAGATATTTGAATCTACTTTTAAAAAGGAACTACTTGTTTTAAATACTTTACATTGGATTGGATTTTTGTATATTGCATACAAATTTTGTATTGGATTCACCAAAATAGGATAAATAATGAAATTTTTGTTTGAATTTGTCAAATGTTAATGGACTGACATTTTTAATGTAATTCTTGACTGTATATATTGTATATAATTATTGTACTTATTGTATATAGTTTGTCTTACATTAGTTATAACCTTCTTTTACTATTTTATACAAAAAAGGGAAATGTGGTTGATATATTGTGCACCTCAATAAAACTTATATTTTTAACAGAACAGCCACTAGATTAGACATAGAGGCCAGACAGTGGTGGTACACACCTTTAATCCTATTACTTGAGAGGCAGAGATCTGTCTGAATCTCTGTGAGTTCAAGGCTACACTGGGAATAGAGCCAGACATGGTGGCACATGCCTTTAATCCCAGCACTTGAAATCTCATGTCTTTGTTTGGGAAGGACACATGCCTTTAATCTCAGGAAGTGATGGCAGGAAGCAGAAAGGTATATAAGGCATAAGGACCAGGAACTAGAGGCTTTTGGGCAATTCAGCTGAGATCCCTTCCAGGTGAGGACTCAGAGGCTTTCAGTCTGAGGATTCATGGAAACAGGATCAGCTGAGGAATTGGTGAGGTGAGGTTGGCTGTGGCTTGTTCTGTTTCTCTGATCTCTCAGTATCCACCCCAATATCTGGCTCCAAGTTTTCTATTAATAAGACCTTTTAAGATTTGTGTTACACTTACAAGTATCTCCAGAGATTTGTAAGAGACCAACATGATGTGCAGGAACAAGATCCTAAAGATCTCAGTGACCTCCCATGCTCAGGTATGGCAGCTTAATTGACTAGACCTCAATTAAGATCATAAGTTCAGAATCCAGGCTAGGTGTTTGCTTGACATGTCTGGGGCACTTCTTAGCCTGTGTTAGATGATATTGATGAGATCCCAAACTCTATACCATTGAGCTGGCCTGCAGTAATAATAGAGGAAAAGAGTCAAGCTATTTTATGGCCTGAGAAACAACAAAAGTGCTTTTTTATTTTCCAGTCTAACTTTTTACCTTTCTGTTTCTATTCAGCCACACTACTGGCCACCAATGGAAACCTCTTCTCCAGGTAAGTAAGAAGTTCAGACAGTTTGAATGGTGTCCCCCAGGACACAATAAACTGGAGGAGGTACAGAATCAGAAATTTAAAGAAAAGAGCTAAAGATACATAGCAAGAGGAAGGCTTACTAGACAGCAAAGGAAGGCATAGTCTGTTTCCTCAACACAGAAAAAGTATACTCAGTAATGGGAACTTCAGGCCAGGTATAGATTAGAAACTGGAGTTGAATGACATCAATTTGATCTCTGCAGGAATTTTCTCCAGACACCCAGGCCTTGCCAATTACTTGATCTTGGCTGTAGTTTGGCTTCCAGCAGCATGACTGGTGGGACCAACAAAACTAGTTCAAGGTAAGTAGTTAATTTTGGAGGGTTGGGTCCATTGAGGGATGAGAAGCAGTGAAGAATGAGCTGTGGACCTGCATGCTAGAGCTTTTATTCATTTTCTATGTACAATCAAAAAATATGATGATGTTTGTACCAAGAAGAGGGAGGGGTACAGAGGAATCTTCAACTCAGAGATGGATACTGTGTAATAAACACAGGAACCTTTTTCTACTGAACCTATACTCCAGGAGGTGTAGTAACAATACTATCACAGTACCTAGATGTATAATAGGTATTCAATAAACTGTGTGTATTTTGTGATCAACTTATTTGTTGATAGAAATAATAGAAAGTTTTGTTCAGTCTGGGCATTGACTGTATGGAACTTGCAAAGCTGAAGCAGGGTTTGTCTTAAGGGTCTCAAGTATTCCATAGAATGGACAAGATATGCATGCAAATAAATCCAAACAAGATAGAAAGTAATAAGATTTAGTGATATACAGTAAGAGTATCAGAAATTTGTGGACACAGATTTAATTTGAGACATGATACTGAGACTTAACATTTTAATTCCATGTGACTAACCTACCTTCATGGAACTCAATTAAATGAGAATGTATAGAAGTAGGATTCAGGTGCTATATTAGTCAGGGTTTTCTAGAGTAACAGATCTTACAGAATTAATCTCTCCCTACATATAGAAAGTGTATTTATTAGAATGACTTACAGGGTGTGATCCAGCTAATCCAACAATAGCAGTCTATGAATGAAAAGTCTAAGAATCAATTAGTTCCTCAGTCCAGGAGGCTGGATGTCTCAGCTGGTCTCTAGTATGTTCTGGAGTCCCAAAGAAGTAGGCTTTAATAACAGTGAAGGAATGAACTTGCTAGGGAGGCAAGAGCAAGCAGGTAAAGAACAAAATCTTCCTTCTTCCATGTTCTTACATAGGCTTCTAGCAGAAAGAGTGGTCCGGATTAGAGGTGGGTTTTCCCAGCTCAAAAAATCTGGATTAAAGGTGTGTCTTTCTACCTCAAAGAACCAGATTAGAAGTAGATAGCCCCACTTCAAATTAAGCAAAAGAAAAATCACTTTTCCACAAGTGTGCCCCTCCGTATTTGGACTTTAATTAATTCCAGATGAAATAAAGTTGACAGCCAAGAATAGCCATCACAGGTGCCTATATTTTTTTAATGATTTTATTTATTTATTTATTTATTTAGTTAGTTAGTTAGTTAGTTAGTTAGTTAGTTAGTTAGTTTGGTTTTGGTGTTGTTGTTGTTGTTTTGTTTTGTTTTGTTTTGTTTTGTTTTTTGAGATAGGGTTTCTCTGTATAGTCCTGACTGTCCTGGAACTTGCTTTGTACATCAAGCTGGCCTTGAACTCACAGAGGCCTGCCTCTGCCTCCCAAGTGCTGGGATTAAAGGTGTGTGCCACCACCACCTGGCTATTTTTGAGATTATCATGTAATGAAATCATTTTCCTCTACCCTTTGCTTTCAACAAAGTATTCCCCCAAATACTCTTTCTTGCTCTCTTTCAAATTCATGGCATCTTTTTTTTATTAATTGCTGGTGTGTGTGTGTGTTCCTAAATGCAAATGAAATCTGCTCAGTCTATATAATGCTACTTCTATGTATGTTTTCAGGGCTGACCATTTGGTATTGGTTAACCAATTAGTGTGCTCGTCCCTGTGGAAGACTATTTCTCCTGTTCTCAGCATTCATTAGTTGCCTGTAATTCTTTGTGTAGGATTGAGGCCTCATGGGCTTCCCTCCATCCACTTTGGCATGTTTATTGCTATTTTTAGGCAGTCATGTTGGTGGGACTTTACGTGTGTAACTTTTGACATTCTTGAGGACAGAATCTTACATAAAATTCCATGCTTCTCTGGCTCTTAAAAATTTTGTGCTCCACTCTGACCCTTTTGGGACTGGGCTCCAAAACACTGCATTTTGATTGGTTGTGCCTATTTGTAATAGTCTCCATCTGTTGCAAAGAGAAGTTTCTTGATGAGGTATGAGGACTGCACTTATTTGTGGGTATAAAGATAAATATTTAGAATTCAGTTAGGGATTATGCTGGTTTAGCAAGATGATTCTAACACTCAGCCATGGTTGTGAGCAAAGATCAAGCAAATCTGTGTCAGCAACTCACAGATAAGGAAACCTACAATAGTGGAGATAAAAAGAACACAAAGCTGGCAACACAAGGATAGGTTCAGGGACTTCACAATCCACCTGCTAAATTCTAGCATCCTTTCTGAAAAGAATGATAGTGATAGCCCGAGCCTCAAATAATCTACACACCTTGTCTCTATTGTTAAAACACAGTTATTGCACACAGGTGTCTAGTAGATTCAGTGTGGTACTACAATGAGCATGTGCATAATAAGGGGAGAGGAAGTACTTAGCCTTTTGTGAAATAGCACTTCTCCAGATGAACAAAGAGCCAGAAAAAGGGACACCTTTCTAAATCAAGTATTGAATGTACCTAAGTTCAGAATGAGACTACTATAAGATCTATGGTCTTTACACACTAACTGTTTAACTGTCTCACACAACTTCAAAGGCAAGTACAGTGACAGATAAACTGCAAAGCACCTGGCAAAAGTCAGATCTACAGCAGCATGCAATTGGGAACTGACAAGTTAGCAATAAAGGCATATTTCTCTGACTCTGTATTGCTCTTCATTTTCAATGCATTTCCATATTTATTTAAATTTGTTTTCATCTGTAGAAACAGTTCAAAGCCCTATGCTAATAGTTTTCATAAACAGATCTGGAATATATTCCCTATGCCCCAGACACAGAAATTAAGTTCAAATAGTAAAAGCTCATTTAAAAGCCACAATAGAGTATAGAGAAATGTCCAGGAAAAAATGTTAGTCTTGATTAAATATTATTAAATATTGTCCTTGTCACTGTTCTATTACAAGGAAACTCTTGTAAAAGAAAGCATTTAATTGGGGCTTGCTTACAGTTTATCATGGTGGAGAGTATGGCAACATGCATGGGGCTAGAAAAATAGAAAAATCCTGATCCACAGGCTGAGAAAAAGAGCCTAGGCCTGGCCTGGGCTTTTGAAACCTCAAAGCCCACCCCAGTGACATGCTTCCTCCAACAAGGCCACACCTCCTGAGCCTTCTAATCCTTTCATATAGTAATACTTCCTGGTGACTGATTATTCAAATATATGAGCCTATGCATTCTTACTCAAACCAACACATATATTATTAATTCACATTTATCTCCAAGTTGTCCTATGTACCAAAAACCCCTCTCTTTAGCATCTCAGAGATTTTGGACCAGGTACAAGAAGATGCAGAAGATGTCCTCTTCAGTCTGGGCTTTGGCCACGAGGACCACAAAGATACATCTCGTATCCCTGCAAGATTTTTCACCAACCCCTCTCAGGCCAAGGGCATTGATTTCCAGCTCTTCCTGAAATCTCAGATGCAGAGGATTGAGATGGAGGATCCCTGCCTGATGCTGGCCAGTGAGTGTTATTTCAACTCCATCCATGCTCTTCTCCCTTACCTTCCTCTCATCTGCAACAGTGGCTTCATACCCTGCTTTTTTCTTAGTTAACTTTGTCCTTTGCTTGTTCCATTCTCATTTATATTTTTCCAAAAATGAAGAAGCACTTTGGTGTCTGCTTTTTTTCTCTTGAAGAAACTATCTTCAGAAAACCTAGGGCCGTTAATGTTTTTGCTTAGACCTTTTGTCCATCAGCAGATTCAAATCAGCACAAAATTCTTATATCTTATTCCAGATTAAAATCTCATTGTTTAGTTACTTACTGGTGATAGGGAGTCTGCAAACCAAGAGAGGGGTCTCTGGGTGCCTGAAATCTAAATTGGAGGATCAACTGGTACCTCTCTGAAATTAGAGCTTTGGGGAGGATTTTGAGTGGACATATTGAAAATGTAATTTGCTGATGAGCTCCTGGAGTCACCATCTTCATTCCTTGTGTTCAGGCCGGTTTAAACAGGTGCAAACACTGGCTGTCACTGCTGATGCTTTCTTCTGTCTCTACTCCTATGTGTCTAAGACACCTGTCCAAAAGTTCACGCCTTCCAACATGTTCTGGAATTGTGACCCAACTGATGTGCCATCCATCAGGATTCTGGCTCCAGAGCCTGAACCCCACTCACCCAGAGAACGTCTACGGAAAGCAATCTCTAAAATGTGCCTGTATACAGGTTCCCGAGATCGGCTGTTACCATCTCACACTAACCCCAAAAGGAACAGTTTGGACCAAGTTGTGTGGGAAGTGATGGACAGAGTAAAAGGAGAGAAGCTAGGTCTCCAGCAAGGCCCAGGGCATGGGCAAGCACCTCAGGAAGAGTCTGCGCCCCCAGGACAAAATACAAAGCTGTCCACCTCTTCTATTCCATGTGTTTTCTGCCCTAAAGAAGAAACTGAGGGAGATATGTGCTGTGCTCATGCTCTAGCCAGCACAGGTCCACAGTGCGACACAGACTCTGCACAGATAAGGAGAGAGCTGTGGGGTCTACAGGCCATCAATGAGAAGCCCCATTCAGCTGAGAAGGAGAGTCCATGGGAAAGAAAAGGCAAAGCAAGAAAGAGCCTATTTCAAAGTCCTCCCTTGGACAAGAATATTAAATCACTGGACTTGTCCATCATACAGAAGAAACGAAAACAGAGCCAAGCCAGACATGAGCTACACCAATCTCTAACTCAGCAGCTTCAGGGTGCTTCTGACTTGGAGCAGGTGAGTGTCCTGGAGGTGAGAGAAAGGCAGGACATGAAAAGCTCTGTATCTTGCCCAGAAGATATAGGAAAACAAATCCATTATCTTGTTCTCACTGGACAAAATAAAACACAACTTGAGAACATTCAGAAACTTTTGTTAAGTATGCTAATATGGATGTAGAAAAAGAAAAAGCCATAGTTTCTTAAGAGAGTTCAGTTTCTCATGAATCATACATGCACTGATGTTTTTTAATGTTTTTCATATAAGTGAAATTAAATGTTAGCTATATACAAAGCTACACATTATTTAATAATATATGTCTTTTATACACATAGGTAACCATTAAGATCTAGAAGTTCTGATTCCAAATCTAAGAGTTTTATCCATTTAACTGTGGGTGGAGCTTTTTCCTAGCCTCACACTTGGTTCCTTTTTCTTTCTACATCTCTATATAGTTGGAAACATAAAGGATTTTTCACATGCTTTTGTGAACACTGCAAACTATGTAGCTAGCACAGCCCTTTCCTATACAATCAGCCATCCATTGGTAATGACATGGACCTATGGATACATATTGATGTGGAGAGGTTCTTGCAAGAACAGACACCAAGCAAAATCAATGCAGGTCTATGCAAACAACTTAGGGTCATTTGACAAGCAGATTTTGTGATTCTAGGTAACCAGAGTTTTCAAGAAGGGATTGTTAAGGCTTCAGGTACTGCCCCATCTATTTCTGCATATTCCCCCCCCCGGGGGGCCATCTAAAACTTAGCATTCCTTTGACCTTGATGTACAGATGGCACTGCCATCAAGTGTCAAGATCATTTGGAAAAGCTTTCAAATCTGTGTCACACAGAAAATCTGTGATCATTTACAATAAAATCACATGCATGTTCCCACTCGTTGACTGTAGTTATATAAGTCATACCTGACTACTAGATGTCTGACACAACAAAAGAAGGATACCTCTGTAATGCACTCAGTCCTCATTCTTCTTTTTAACTTCTTTCTATCCTGTGCCTTTCCTCGATCCTATTGCCCATTGATTCTGCCTCAGTTATGATGGGATCATGTTCACAGGTACAAAACAACAGTGAAGAAGAGAACTGTCACTCACCCGGCAGAGCCAGGCACCCCTACTTCTACCATACTTCCCTTGGAGAAGACTCAAGAAGTAAGTGGGCTTGTGTGTCGGGCAGTATTTCAATATGTGGACACATCTTCTCCCTGGTGAGAATGTATGAATATCCACAGTGGAAGTTCCCACATAGTACAATTATTTTACAAGTGTGGCACAGAATCAATAGGTGATTATTTTTTTAAATTCTACAGATGGAGGTAGAAAATACTCCTCTAGATGAGTGGTGCTCAGACTTAACATATATCAGAACATGCAGAAAGGCTTGTTAAATTGCAAATACTGGGTCTTAGTTCATGCTTTCTTGCTCAGAAGGTCTGAACAGGGACCAAGAGTGTGCATCGCTAACAAGAATCTGACTCTCAGGTGATTACCATTCAAATGCTACTGTCCTAGAGGACAGTCTGCAGATACTTAGCATTCAGAATGCATCCCACTACCAGAAGCTCCTGCTAGAAATAGAGGATCAAAGGCCCCCACTTTTTAATCCAGACTTGATGGATTACAATTTGATCAAGATTAGAACAACCTCTCTACTAGGATAACAAAGAAAACAGCATTAGGGTACGCATTTTAGTTAGAGATGCTTTCACTTTTTACAGGTATGTACTCTCTAATACACCTTCTAGACCAGTGTTTCTTGGTTAGCAATCTAAAATTTCAATGTTATTTTCCTAGAAACAACATTTAATGCAAGTTCTCGACAGTTTTGGAATGCTCGCCACTATTCTTTCTCTCTCACCTGTACTTCTAGGTCTGCATATCTGTATATATGCAATTATTTATTGAGACAGATATGCAGGAGGCAAGGAGGTAGTACATGTAGTTTAATTTTTAAGTTATTGATCCAGGCCTAATGTCTATGCTTGTAATCCCAGAACTAGGGTACTGTAGAAGAAAGATAGCAAATTTGAGACTAACCTGAGCTAAGGTTCTGTTCCGCACAGCCTGGGCTATATATTGAAGCTTTGTATCAAAAGGGAGAAGGAGAAAGGGATTAATGATGTGTCTGATACCTTTGTCTTGAATATCTGATGGATTCTCTCTCTCTCTCTCTCTCTCTCTCTCTCTCTCTCTCTCTCTCTCTCTCTCTGGGTTGTTTCATTTTCCAGTATCCAGCCTGACTTTATTACATGGAAATTTAACAAAAACCAAGGCTGCAATAATTTCAGGAAGTTGTATAAGATTCCCTCACATTTGTTATATATAACAAACCAACCTGTATTCAAAAGAATGAAAAGCAGACTCCACATTTAATGGAGTGACAAAACCATGCAGTACAAAGACATGTGGGATGGGAAAGTTTGGGCCGTCTTTTTAAACAATCCATTACAGATAGTAAAAAACGGGGGTGGGGTGGCTGGAGAGATGGCTCAGTGGTTAAGAGCACTGGCTACTCTTCCAGAGGTCCTGAGTTCAATTTCCAGCAACCACATGGTGGCTCACAACCATGTGTAATGAGATCTGAAGCCATCTTCCTGCCTACAGGCATACATGCAAGCAGAACACTGCATGTGTAATAAATAAATTAATTTAAAAAAACAGTTTTATCAAAATTCTTTATTCTTCATGTCTTAAAGATTCACCAAGAGTAAATTCTCATTCAAAAGTTATTCAAACCCAGGCATATCATACAGAATTTTGAAAGGAAGTTAAATCCTAGACTCACTGAATTAAAATAGAAAACATGTGAAGTACACTGCAGAGCCTAGTTGCCTTGCCAAACATCTGCTCTAAATTACAAAGCTTTGCTCCTATGCTGTTTGTCCACCAGATGTCAGCCTCACACAAGAAAATGTCAAGATATCCATGAATGCCAGTTCCCCTCACAAACCTGAAGCCACTCAAAGTAAATTTCAGAATCCAAAAACATCAGAATTGTCTAGCAAAGAGATATATTTTAACTAAATGAATAGATCTTATTTCCTGTCAATTTAACAAGATTTCATCTTAGCAGGATGGTTAGGCATTCTGTATATTTTGCATCCTACATGTGTATTTTACTGTAACATATCTACAATTAGGATGCATCTTATCATTTATATCATTAGTCAAAATTTTCTTTTAATTAATGTGTGCTCACATGCAATATCAAATAATTTTCAATCTTATTAGAGATAACCAATACAATGATATGTAGTAATTTTAGGAAAAAAAATTGTACTTAGACTCTCAAGAAAATGAAACCACAATATTTTAAATATTTCTCTCCTACAATTACCTGGGAGAATCAGAAATCTCTTCTCAGACAGTCTTTGTTTCAGTATTGGAGTCTTAGTATTTCCAAAGTCTTTCCCATGTTTTTTTTTAAATAGATTTTTTTCATTCAACATATCTTGATTATGGTTTCTTTTCCCTCTGCTCCTCCCAATTCCTCATCACCTCTCTTCCCATCTGGATCTACCCCCTTTCTGTCTTTTATTAGAAAAGAAACAGGTACCTAAGAGATAATAATAAAATAAAATAAAATAAAAACACATCAGAATAGGACAAAACAAACGAACAGGAGAAAAAAAGACCAGGAAAAGTCATAAGAAACAGATATAGATACAGAGACATGCTTGTTTACACACTCAGGCATTCCATAAAAATGCAAAACCAGAAGCCATAAGATGTACACAAAGGAATTGTGGTGGGGGAGAATTTTAAAAAGAAAGATAAAATTTAAAAGAGAAAAATTCCCAACATAACATTATGAGACAAGGAATCTCCAAACGTGCCATTGAGTTTATTTTGTGTTGGCCATCTACTGCTGCAAATGTGGCATTCCCTTAAGAGTAGTTTGTTTCCCCAGTGAGATGTTTTCAAAAGAGACATAAATTACCACTCTCAACCTGTGTCTATCATTCTTTAAGAGATCACAAGGTGATTCAGAAACTGCTCAGTGCTGCCAAGATTGACACCTATATGATAAGTGTGAAGGGAAAATAGGCTGAGGTATACTGAATAAACCTCACTCCTACTTCTTTAAGGGCATACGGATAGGTAGGATGGGCGAGAAATATTCAACTGGCCACTCTATTCAGCTGAAAAATCTTCATTGTCCAGAGATGCCCAGCCTTCTACAGTAACAGCGCTCAGAATCTACCCATTCCCACCAATTTACCACACAAAAACTCTAGGGACTAGAGAGAAGTGAAGGTAGGGATCTATTATCCAGCCTGTAACAAGTTATATAAGATGATTAAGGGCTGGGCATGAAACAGTAAATCTGTATTTAGCAATAATATACAATTAAATTTTAGATTTTTTTGTTAAGTTACTGTGTGTATATGTGCATGCACATGTGTGTGTACAAGTGTGTGCATGTGTATGTGTGTGGGTGCACATGTGTGTTTACATGTGTGTGGAGACCAGAGGTAGACATTAGATGTCTTCTTCAATCTTTCTCCACCTCATTTTTTAAAGTTTTCCTATTACAATTTGTGTGTGTGTGTGTGTGTGTGTGTGTGTGTGTGTGTGTGTGTGTGTGTGTGAAAATCAGAGGATAGTTTGCAAGAATCAGTTCTTCCCTTCTACCTTGTGTTCAGGGCATTAAACTCAGCTGTTAGGGCTCTGTTTTCCCACTAAGATACAAAAAGTTAATTTTTGAGACAGGGTCTGTTACTTAATACAGGACTTAGTTATTTGGCTAGATTGTCTGACTGAAAAACTCCAAGAATCCAACTGTATTTTCCTCTTCTCCAGCTCTGGGATGATAGATGTACACTGCCATACCTGGCTTTACATGTGGGTGCTCATGTCCTCATGCTTGCACCATCTCATCAGCCCCTGTTAAATGTTTTTATCACAGCTTTATACACACACACACACACACACACACAATCATCTATCCATCTATCCATCATCTATCTATCATTTATCTATCATCCATCTATCTATCTACCATCTATCTATCTTATATGTATGGATTATAAATGCTTGAGAAAGACATTTACAGGTTGTAAAGTGGCAAAAGATGATTTAGTCAAAAAATTTTGCATATATTTCAAAGACACGGAGAAAGAACTTAGAAGCTTTCGAAAGAAAGATGTTTCAGGAAAGAAGGTGATAGATGCCTTTCCAGTTGTGCATCAGGGAATGTAAGGCGGAATCTCAAAATACTTTTGATTTGCATTTCCCTGATGGCTAAGGATGTTGAACATTTCTTTAAGTGTGACAAACTTTTCTTAGAGAAACATTCATTGGTAGTTGAGTACATGAATGATTAGATTC